CAGAATGTAAACAGAGACACATGTCAGTGTATGTGAGTGTGTGTGCGTGTGTGTGTGTGTGGGGGGGGGGGGGTTGAGGGAGTGGGGGATGCTGCAGCCTGTGATAGCTTCTCTGTGTAGCTGATGATTTTATGATTTTATTGTTCAGCTACACAGATTGCAGCCATCCTGCACCAGTGTCCCAACCACCATCTGTCCCTGTCCACAGTGCACATCAACATCTGTCACAGTGCACATCAACATCTGTCAGCATCTGTCACAGTGTGCAGTGCACACCAACATCTTTCACAGTGCCCCACCAACATTCATCAACATCTGTCACAGTGTACCAGTGCACAAAAAACATCTGTCAGTGTACCAGTGCACAAAAAACATCTGTCACAGTTTACCAGTGCACAAAAACATCTGTCACAGTGTACCAGTCCACAAAAACATCTGACAGTGTACCAGTTTCCCATCAACATTTGCAATAGTGTCCCATTGCAAGATCAACACATGTCAGTGTCCCATTGCATAATCAACACGTCAGTGTACCAGTGTCCCACCAACATCTGTCACAGTGTACCAGTGGTGGTGTGATCAAATGTTTTTAGAACAGAGGAGACATCTGTGGTCTAACAGACCACAGATCTCTCCATAAAGAGTACATGTTACTGCCTATTGCTGTCACAAGTGATGTTTACATTACCTGTGACAGCAAAAAAAGTGATAAAAAATTTAAAGAAACAGCGTAAATATTATTTAAAAAAAAATAAATAAGTAAATTATTTTTTAAATCGCCCTGTTTCCCCCTGTGCTCATGTGCAAAGGCAAATGCACAAGTGGCAATTGCACCACACATGTGAGGTGTTGCTGCGAATGTCGGAGCAAGAGCAATAATTCTAGCACTAGATCTCCTCTGTAACTCTAAACTAGTAACCTGTAAAGGCTTATAAAATGTTACCTATGGAGATTTTTAATACGGTAGCTTGGCACCATTCCATAAGTGTGCAATTTTAAAGCATGACATGTTTGGATACCAACATCATGTTTTATATTTTTACCAAAAAAATTAGGTATTATATTGTGTTTGCGTACATTAAAATTCATTAAATGGTTAGCACTTCCGCCTGGCAGTACTAGGTCCGTCGGTTCGAATCCCAGCCACGGCATCACCTGCCTGGAGTTTCCATGTTCTCCCTGTGCCTGCGTGGGTTTCCTCCGGGTACTCCAGTTTCCTCCCACACTCCAAAGACATGCTGGTAGGTTAATTGTCTCCTGTCTAAATTGGCCCTAGTATGTATATGTATGAATGTAAGTTAGGGACCTTAGATTGTACACCCCTTGAGGGTTAGGGACTGATGTGAACATACAATATATATATGTAAAGTGCTGCGTAAATTGACGGTGCTATATAAGTACCTGAAATAAATAAATAAAAGGAAAGTGTATTTTTGTCCACAAAAATTGCATAAGAAAACACTGCGCAAATACCGTGTGACATAAAAAATTGAAAATCCCACCATTTTATTCTCTAGGGCCTCTGCTAAAAAAATATATAATGTTTGGGGGTTCTAAGTAGTTTTTTTAGCAAAAGCAAACATTTAAAAAAAAAAAAAGGGCTAGAAGAAGGCCTGGTCTTAAAGTGGATAATGCCTGAAGGTGCTCTCTATGTTGCTAAGCTGTGAAAAAGGTTTCACACATATGGTATTGTCATCCTGAGGAGGAGTAGCAGAATGTATTTTGGAATGTAGTTGCAAGTATGCCTATACTGTGTGTGAGAAATAACTTGCTAATTTGACATTTTTGTGAAAAAAAAGTATTTACTTTCTTCATTTTCCAAAGAATTGTGGGAAAAATTACAACTTAAAACTCACCATGCCTCTTGCTAAATACCAGTAAATGTCTACTTTCCAAAAAGGGGTGATTTAGGGGTATTTGTACTATCCTGGCATATTAGGGCCTCAAGAAATGAGATTTCATGAATGAATCAGGATTGACCAACTTTTTCAATGATAGGTACCTTAGCTTGTAGACTCTATAACTTTCACACAGGCCACATAATATGCACTAATTTGGGGTATTTTTACCAAAGAAATATAACGGTATAAGTTTTGGTAAACATTTATGAAGAAAAATTACTTATTTGCAAATATTTATAACAGAAACGAAGAAAGCTTGTTTTTTTCCAACATTTTTGGTATTTTTTTCATTTATAGCGCAAAAAATTAAAAATCCAGTAGTGATTAAATACCACCAATTGAAAACTCTATTTGTGTGAAAAAAAAAATGATACAGTGTTGCATGACTGACTAATTGTCATTCAAAGTGTAAGTGTAAGGGAATTCCTGTGAGACGGCTGGCGAATACAGGTGCGCATGTGCACAGAAATGCACGATCACGCACACGCACGTGGATACGCAGGGTGAAGATTGGCACCAGATGGACTATTTAAAAGGTGCCTCTGCCTGTTCTGAGTGCTGACAGGTCCTCAGCTGTTCCCCATTTCCTGCTCCTTCCTGTGTGATTTCCTTGTTGCTGACCCGGCTTGTTCCTGACCTGACTCTGATTACTCTCCTGCTTGATACTGGTTCCTGACTTTGGCTCTGCTCCTGACTTTGGCTTGCTTATGATTTGGTACCTCGCTGTCCACCCGTTGATGACCCTGGCTATTCCTTTGACACTGCTCCTGTCTCCCATCCCTGCTTCCTGCCTTGCTCTGGTGCACACCTGTCGATCTACCATACCAGCTCTGCATATCGCTACTGTGCCTGAGTTGGAGGTTCATCAGTCTTCCAAAGTCTCCAACTGCAAGAGCTGCAAACAACATCTGCTGGCGCTCTTGTCTCTCTGGTCCCTAGACTCCCTCTGTTCCACTTCCAGTGGGGTCAGGGCTAGTGACACAAGTGAGGCTGACCTCGTCATTTCAGTCTCCAATCAGGTACGTGACCATAAGAGTGCTGAAAACTGAAAATTGACATGAGTAGGAAGGTGGCGAAAATGCTCTGTATAGATGTGGTTAAAAATATGACATACATGTATGACTGGAACCTAATTATAAAGATAGGATGAATAATGTAATTTTGCTTTACTCAACTTTTCTTGTAGTTAGTCACAACCAACAGTCGCTTTAAAATGTATTTATAAATTGCCTTTCATGAAATTGACCACAGTGAAACCAAGGTCTTTACTGTATCTATTTTATTCAGTTTATACTGGGCCCAGTTTAACACTGCTCCTATGTTGGTAAGAGAGGTGTCACTTGTACCTTCCCTAACTATGTGGCATTGCTTGTACCAGCCATTTTGCCCTTTATCAATGGTTCAAGAGATAGGGCTAAAAACAGGGTGTTCCGCTTGACTCTTAGGTTATGATCCCTGTACCTGGTTTGGTTACTCTATTTGGTTTGTTGTTTGCTTCTTTGCATTATCTTTAGCCTGTCAAAAGATTAACTTAAAATGTTCTTGCCTTAACTTCGGCCTGGTTTAGAGTATAGGTTTTCCTAACAATTCAGTAGCTCGTTTCAGTTGTATGTGACTTTAATTGAGCAAACATAGCAAAAACTCATTTAAACCAAAAAGCCCTATTATACTGTATAACACATTAAGCTGCTATATCAGAATTTGATAGAGTACAACCCCCACTGCACTTTTGTGAGTTCTCAAGAGAAAAAAAAACTAGTTGCAATCGACCCACTGTATAAATATGGTTTCAACAAAACCAACAAAGCAACCATATTCATAATCCTTCAATGTGAAATATAACTAAACCAGAACAAATAATCTAGTTCAATATAGCACTAAGTGTAAATTTATCCCCTTATTAATATGTCATTAAAAAAAATAAATTAATATATCACCCAGAATTGCATCACTTCAAAACTCGTAGCAATATTAAATATCGTGCACATAAATCTCAAAGTGCTCAACAAAGTACCAGAATGAGCTAAATCTGACACATAAAATGACACAGTGCCCAAGGAAAAGAAACAAATGTAGCAGAGCTTCTAGATTTTTGTGTAATGGTGATCAAATATCCACCTTTAGAACTCCATACCAAACTCCACATGTTGTCCTCCACCCCACACTTGGATCTGCACTCACCAAAAAATGTTGCCACACTTTCACAAATATAGCAATTGCACTTACAGTATGAGATCCCAAAAAAATTGAGCCTTCTCTTCAATCCCTGAGCTGTCCTCTGATGTCTACATGTAATCTCACCCTCAGGAAGCATACAAAGGAAGAGGCCACACACAGTGTGATACTGCAGGATTCATTTTTTTTTTTACTATTTTACTAACACAAAACCATTATACTCACATTTAAATAGTACAACACAGCATCCCAAATATCTCCATCAGAGATATATCTTCACCGTACAGCTGAATATTGAGATATATTAACCACTAGCCTACAGGGCACTTATACCCCCTTCCTGCCCAGGCCAATTTCCAGCTTTCAGCGCTGTCACACTTTGTATGACAATGGCACGGTCATGCAACACTATACCCATATGACATTTTTATCTTTTTTTTTCAGACAGATAGAGATTTCTTTTGGTGGTATTTAATCACCTCTGGGATTTTTATTTTTTCTTAAACAAACCAAAAACCACTGAAAATTTTGAAAAAAAAAAGTTTTTTCTTAGTTTTTGTAATACAATTTTGTAAATAAGTGATTTTTCTCCTTCACTGATGTACGCTAATGAGGCTGCAGTGATGGGCACTGATAGGCTGCACTGATGGACACTGATAGGTGGCACTGATGGGCACTGATGAGGAGGCACTGGTAGGTTGCACTGATGGGCATTGACAGGCATCACTGATAGGCACTGAAAGGCAGCACTGATACATAACACTGATATATGGCATTGATAGGTGGCACTGATGGGCAGCACTGACTGGCACTGATAGGCGGCACTGACTGGCACTGTTAGGCAGCACTGACTGGCACTGATAGGCAGCACTGATTGGCACTGATAGGCGGCACTGATGTGCACTGATAGGAGACACTGACTGGCACTGATAGGTGGCACTGTTTGGCAGCACTGATAGGTGGCACTGATTGGCATTGATAGGTGGCACTGACTGGCACGGATGGGTGACATTGAAAGGCAGCTCAGATGGGCACTGATATGTGGCATTGATGTGCACTGGTATGCACTGGCACATGGCACTGATGAGCACTGACTGCTGGCACTGATGGACACAGAGGTGGCACTTCTGGGGCCACACTGATCATCAGAGCACACTGATCATCAGTGCCCTGATGATCAGTGTACATGTCTCCTTCGCGGAAAGCAGATTACCGGCTCTCCTCTCCTCTCGAGCTGTCAGCGTGACAGCTCGAGAGGAGAGAAATGCCGATAAACCGGGATTTCCGTGTTTACATGTGATCAGCTGTGATTGGACACAGCTGATCACATGACTGAGCCGACATCTTTGGCTCTTTCTGTGATCCGCTGTGTCCGAGGGACACAGAGCACCGGCGATCGCCGCGCTGTGCGCTCCCTGAGCCACGCATGCGCGCTGAGAATGGAAGGACGTCATATGACATCCTATGAGAACGAAAGAACCACCTTGCGCCCCTTATTGTACCATATGGCTGGCGGAATGTGGTTAAAAGGAGGCTCAAAAATTCCTTTTAGTCCTGATTCACACCTGTGCAACTTTTCATGCAGTTTCAAATCACATGACAAGTTACACCCTATTGTCGGCAATGGAACTGTTCACATCAGTGCAACTTTGACTCCTTTGGAGTCGCAATTTTGAAAGTAGTTCCTGCACTATTTTTTGCAATTTCAGGTGTGACTTGCATTGGCATCTGTGCATGAAGTTGCACAGATATCTGCCAAGTCACACCTGAAGTCACACTGGCATGAGACTTTGAAGTCGTATATCAGTAGGGCAGGTTGGTGTCAGTAGGGCAGTGGACAGTGCCAGTAGTTCTTTATTTTTATTTTTTTTTACAATTTTGTTTTTTTTATTATGTTTTACAATTTTATTTTATAAATTATTTTTACAATATTATTTTTTACAATTTTTTTAGAAGCTCTGTTGGGGGCTTTTTTGAAATGTCAGGGGTCTAAACAGACTCCTCATGTCTCACTTTTATTCTTTTGTGCAAGAGAAAGGGACTGAGCACATAAATTCATCAGTCCCTTTCTCTGAAGCACCAGCTGCACTGTACAGTGAATGAATAGATAGTGCTCTGTGCTGATTGGTTTCCTACTCAATCACAAACTGAGGCATAGTAAACAGTTTACTATGCTTCAGATGTGAATGAACAAAGTGAGTGATTGGTTCACTGTGTTTATTCAGAAACGTAGGGGGTCAGTAAATTACAGATTTACTGGCCCCTTCCCCCACTCTCCATCCTGAAGTATCCTCCATAGCAGCTGGTGTGAGTGGGGAGAGGGGGGATCCAGCAGCACTGTGGAGGAGGGGGCAGGGGAGAAGACGGAGGGGCCAGGGCAACAAGAAAACACAGATAGGAGTGACACTGGGGTCATCATTTACTAGACATGGGCAACTCTATTTTCATGCAGCAGCTGAATGTGGGCAGGAAGGGGAGGAGAAGCAGACTTTTAGTTGTTGCAAGAAAAATACAGCGGGTCTAGTAAATGCTGCCTTTTCAGGTGTAACATAGTGTCCCCATGGGCCCCCTGGGTGTTGTCACCATTGCAATCCCTGCGACCCGCTTTGCTACACCCATGCTATTAGCAAATATTAGTTGTTATAGAAATTCTAAAAAGTACATCAAATGTTCATGCTGTGCAAAACACTTCTCAAAAAAGCAATAAGACTGACATGGATACATTTTCTATCTTAAGCTATACAGGGGTTAGACAAAAAAAAAAAAGGAAACACTACATGATTTGCAGGTGTGAAAGTGACAACATGATTTGTGTTGAATGTGGAGGTGATGTAACATTCTTTTGCTTCCGCTGTGTGATGAGACACCTAGCAAACAGGTATGAAGCCTTACTTTTGTCATTCACTGCATGTGCTGCTATTAATACAGAGTCATGTCAGAGCTTACTGAACTTTAAAGAGGGCAAATTGTTGGTGCTCCCTTAGCCGTGCCTCTGTGACTGAAGTTGCCAATTAATTTGCCATGTCACAAGGTACATTATCAAAGGTTATGACCGCGATCGTCATGGTCAACTGACCAAAAATAACAAAAGGACATTATGCAGGATTTTGACCCGGAAAAAGAAAGCAACTGCTGTAAAAGTGAGTACAGAGCTCAATCTCAGTCCAGTGAAGACTGAAACACGGCAAATAAATTGGTAACGTCAGTCACAGAGGCGCCAGCTAAGCGGGCACCAACAATTTGCCCTCTTTGAAGCTCAATAACCTCTGACATGACTCCATATTACTAGCAGCACACGTAGTTAATGAAAAATGTGAGCCTTCCACCTATTAGCTAGGTGTCTCGTCACACAGCTGAAACAAAAGGGTGGTACATCACTTTCCCTTTCAACACAAAACATGTCACTTTCACACCTAAAAACATGTAGTGTTTCCATTTTTTGTCAAACCCCTGTATGTGGTGGTAACAATATCTATACATTGTATTGTATATGGTTATTTACACTCAGCAATGAGTGTGCAACCACCATTGTGCAATGCACAATAATGCGTTTACATGCAAATACACAATTTCTGTTTCAAGGTGCATGGTCATAAACAGGAGTACAGTATAATGTGAATGCATATGCATATGCATAATTGCTGCAATAAGCAAGAAGGCACATGTTCATTTTCATTGTTAACAGGATGATGGATGATTAACTGCAATATTCCCACTTGAGCTGGAATCGTTAATTGGCGTGAGTTTGCAATTAATGGTAAAACTGGCTGTTGATTCAGCTGCAGAATTCCATCATTGGAAAGGCTCAAACAGGGACCAGATTTCTGTGACTAAATGAATATTCACTGATGATAAAAACTGTGCATTAATGATGTAACAAAATCTTATATTTTTCAACTGTTAATCCTCAATAATGTGTGTAAGCAGTCATGAGAGTAATAGCCCACAAAGCTGTGTACTGCACATGACTACAATAGCATAGCAAAAAGAGTGACAAAAAAATGTACAAAACCATTCTATGAAGAGTCACATTATGGTGGTGCTGTCCTTTCCGAGAGAAACCAGATGGCAGTTACATGTAGTGTGTCAGAACACAGATTGTGAAATGTCCACAATCTAATATAAAACTGTCCTGAAATCTCTCATAGCAACAATACTGGGGCTATATATGAATGTATTGTATTTCTGTCAAAAACCACTTGTGACATTTCAATAACTATTATGCTGGCCTCAAAAATTATCCTTGTAAGAAGCAAAATGTATAATCTCCCAAAGCAACAGTGCTGTGGTGTCATAGAAATATACAGTACATTATTCCAGCATTATTCCAGCACTATTCAGTGAAAAGCATAAGTAACTGTCAGAATATTCATAATATCCACAATTGCATCTAAAGTCATAATGCAGCCTTCTGTATCAAAAGTGCCACAGCTTTATACAGATGTGCATTAATCAAGTGCCATTAATGTCTTTTGAGCTGTTAAGTGCCATGCTTAAATAACTGTGAGACAGCCTCTCAGAATGTCCCAAAGGTGCAGTGGAGAAAAGCTACAGTGTTTCAGTCTGCAAAATAAATATAAAAAAAAAGAATTACAAATTATACATTTAAAATTACAATTGAGACAGAAAAAAATGTTGAGACTCACTCCATATTATGTAAAAACTTTTACAAAGTTGCATTTTAGTAGGCAGAAACCAGCTAGGTTTATATTTTAAAAAATTAATTGTTTCTTAGAAAAAAATCCCAAAATATGGGACAGATTTAATGCACATATGTAAGAAGCTTTAGCAGGCCGCAGTTTAAGAGGGAGACACCAGGCAGGTTTTAATGAAGAGATCAAATTTAGTGTTTTCTATGTAATGATTACTTTTTCTATGTAATTGATTACTGCCACACTCATGGTGTGATCAGAAGTTATTTTTGCAGTATTTTAGTGTGGAGTGACCAGCTATGCTGTGTGCAAGATGTGTCTTTAATAGAATACTATTGGAGAACACGCTGTATTTCTGCTCAGGCTTAAGAAGAAAAAATTTTAAAATGTGCATGGAATAATGTGTGTGTGCAAGATAGGAAGTTAAGCTGTGTATGTCACTTTCAACTTTTGCAGCATTTTAATATAAATAAATCAAAATAGTGCAAAAATATCCCAAAAATACAAAATAAATGAATAATCACTCAAAAAAATTATAGTCACTCAATAAAAATTATAGTCACTCAGTAAAATTCAAAGGAAAATCTTCATGCTGAAAACTTCCAAAATGACTCCTGAGGCCAATAGAAACCAAATAAACAACACACCTTATAATCATATGGGCAGGATGATTCCACACAATATGCTCCACCAAGGAGATCCTCACAGCCTCATAGATGTACTCCTGATGTCATCCAAATCGGCATATATCTTTCTAACACCAGTCTCCATGCTCCAACGATGCCCACCATATATAGAATAAAGTATAGTGAAAATTCATATATTACCATTCAAATATACTTTATTAATATGATTACATATGATTTCATCTTTCAAACCGCCATTAAAATGAAGAAACCAAAAGCCAGACCTCTGGAGATCCTCTGGTATCCTCCTCATGTAATATAGAGAGAACTGCCAGGATCCAAAATGGCTGCTCGGCCACTTCCGGTTTCGCTGTGCATCTGATGTCACTTCCCTTGACGTGTTTCATCACCGGACTTAATCATAAGGGATAGAGACATCAAGCAAGAAGCATACTACGTGGTATATATTACAATATGAAATAAACTACACATGTTTGACTTTAAAGGGTTCTACCCATGTAAAAAATGCATAATGTGTAAGGTTACCAATATTAAAACGAGATTGATATCGGATTTTATATCATGTAGTACAGGCAGCAATTTTAAGATTAAGAAGTTTATTACTTGCTCCACCAAATTTGTGACCTACCTACTGGAATGTCCTTGTCGACTTCAGTACGTGGGCAGAACATCTAGATCATTACATAAAAGACTTAGCGAACATGTAGGTAATATTAAGAAAGGGAAAAGGATCACTGTCTTTCTAGACACTTTAGGGATTGCATGATTGTGACCCTAGTGTGCTTAGTTTCTGCGGGATAGACAGGATATAAGCTCATTGGAGAGGTGGGGATAAAGTGAAGGCCATCTCCCAAAGCTTCAGCCTTAAGGCCACATAACTTAAACATGGCCTCTCCTAAGGCGTGTTGTTTATTTTATTTGGTTTCTATTGGCCTCAGGAGTCATTTTGGAAGTTTTCAGCATGAAGATTTTACTTTGAATTTTACTGAGTGACTAAACTTTTTTATTGAGTGACTATAATTTTTTTG